CCCCCCTTCTAGATCTTGTCTTCCGGCAAACACCCAAACACCATAGACCAGTCTCCGGCAACCACGACCCACACAGGTAACGACACTCAGTCCTCAACCAGCGGCACCAAAACCTCCAGGCAGCCATTTCTTCGAACCCTTGCAGGTTTCCAAGGGCAGTAGCGGTCAGGCATCATCGCCGGGACATTAGGAAGACAACAGAGGCGCCAAGAACAAGGGCAGAACTTCGGTTTTTCACAGTATCAGGAATATACCAAGACTGTGAAAAGGCACGGGAGAAAATATGATATATTGAGAAAATATGATATATTGATATTGTGTGTTCAATACAATACAAGAGGTCCTAATTTATAGCTATACCATACAAAGACATATTACGCCTATTCCAATGTGGGACAAGACTACATTATGTACATATCTAACACTCCCTCTCAAGCCGGTGCATACACATATATGTACCGAGCTTGTTACACATGTAACTAATATGAGAACCAGTAAGAGACTTAGTAAAAATATATGCTGGTTGATCATTCGACTTTACAAACTTTGTAATAATATCTCCTGAAAGTATTTTTTCTCTGACAAAGTGACAGTCGATCTCAATGTGTTTAGTCCTCTCATGGAATATCGGATTTGACGCAATATGAAGAGCAGTTTGGTTATCACACACTAGTTCCATCCTGCTAATTTCTCCGAACTTTAACTCCTTGAGCAACTGCTTGACCCAAACTAACTCACACGTTGCCATAGCCATGGCCCGATATTCGGCTTCGGCGCTAGATCGAGCAACTACATTCTGTTTCTTGCTCTTCCACGAGACCAAATTACCTCCTACTAGAACACAATATCCAGACGTAGAACGTCTATCAAAAGGTGATCCTGCCCAATCAGCATCTGTGTACCCAACAATCTGCTCGTGGCCTCGATCCTCGAATAGTAATCCTTTGCCTGGAGCTGACTTTATATACCGAAGAATACGAACAACTGCATCCCAGTGACTATCACAGGGAAAATCCATAAACTGACTTACAACACTCACCAGAAAAGAAATATCAGGTCTAGTCACTGTGAGGTAATTCAATTTTCCAACCAACCTCTTATATCTCGTAGGGTCTCTAAGAGGCTCCCCATGTCCAGGCAGAAGCATAGCATTCGGATCCATAGAAGAGTCAACAGGTCTGCAACCCATCATTCCAGTCTCCTCAAGAATGTCTAAGGCATACTTCCGTTGTGAAATAACAATACCTGAGCTAGACTGAGCGGCCACAATACCTAGAAAATACTTCAGACTGCCCAGATCCTTAGTTTGGAAGTGCTCAAAGAGATGTTTCTCCAGGTTAGTAATACCATCCTGATCGTTGCCAGTAATAACAATATCATCAACACAAACCACCAGATAAATACACAGATTCGGAGCAGAATGCCGATAAAACACAGAGTGATCAGCCTCACTACGAGTCATGTCGAACTCCTGAATAATTGTGTTGAACTTACCAAACCAGGCTTGAGGGGACTGTTTCAAACCATATAGTGACCTGCGCAATCTGCATACACAACCACTAAACT